CGCTGCCGCCACTGCTCCTCCTGCGAGGCACCGCCGTTCCGTTGTTCTCTTTGTTGTCCCGGTATCAGCCTCTCTGAGAGCATCCGGGACGACTCCACCCTTCATTCTTGCGGCGCTGCCGCGAGCTGCGCTGGGGGCTACGTCGCGTGCGGCGCTGCTGGCGGCTGCGCTGCCTCCGTTGCGGGCGGCGCGAATGGCAACCCTCTCCCTCCCACCGCCGCCGCCACCCTCTCCCCCCTCCATCCCCCCCGGCCGCCTCTCACCACCGCCGCCATCCCCCCCTTTCCTCTCCCCTTTCCTCTCCCCTTTCCTCCCCCCTTTCCTCCCTCCACCCCCCTCGCCTCCCCGCCGCCTTCACCTCCCTCCCCGCCGACCCGCCCCGAGTCGCCTCACAGCCAGCACGGTGGCTGGCCGACGCCCAGAGAGCCGTGCTCCCCTCGGCCGGGCGGCGCGGCCGGCGGTACCGCGCGCGTCGGGGCGAGCGGCGAGCCCCTCCTCTACCGCATTCCGAGAAGGGAGGGCGTGGTCGAGTACATGGACGCGACGAGAACGCAGGAACTCGCGGCCGAGGAGGAGGCCGAGCGGCAGCGCAAACGGGCGCGAGAGAAGGAGGCATGGCGCGCGCAGCGCGAGCGCAGCGCCAAGAAGACGGCAGCGCTGCAGGGGCACGACGAGGCATGGGGACGCGCGAGGGTGGCCCATGTCGGGCGCGCGCACTCGGTGGCTGGCGCGCTCGACGCGCACATCGAGCGGCACTGGCGGCCAAGCGGCGGCGCGTTTGCCTACTACCCCGAGGGCCTCCTCCGCATTCCCGAGCGCTTCGTGGCGGTCCACGTGAGCCGGGTGATTCCCCTCCTAGTCCACTGCGTCGAGGCGGAGTTCGACTACGCTTATGCCACGACCGCTTTCTGCGACGAGTTCCTCGGCGAGGGGAGGTACGCCCGGCGGGTCGCCCAGCTGCCAGCGGCGCCGCCGTCGCTGCCGCTGCTCGAACGCCTCAGCAGCGCGGTGGAAGACATGGAGCGCCACCTGCCGCGAGGCCCTCGGCTCGCCAGATACGCGACGGACGAGGAAGGCCGACGGGAGGGGGAGGGGGGGGGAGAGGAGGAGGGGGGGGAGGAGGGGTACGGGGGGGGCGGCATGGAGGGGGAGAGGAAGAGCAAGGGCGAGAGAGGGCAAGGGACCGGGCGCTGGCATACCAGGGGGGGCAGGGTGGTGGGCGGCGACCGCCGCATACCGTCCTACGGCGGGGACTATCGCTACGCCAGGGAAGACAAGGGCGTCGAAGTGCAGCTGCTGCTGTTCGAATCGTTCGGCGGGTTCGGAAAGGGGGTCCGTGAGATCCTCAGGAAGGCGGCGGACGTACTACAGAACAAGCTGACGCGGGCCCAGTACCTCGATGAGGTGACTTGGACCACCAAGAGCTGGCTGGGGCTGCAGAAGCAGCGCATCTCAGTCGTTCTTCACACGGCAATCGCAGAGCAGATTGTGAATGAGCTTGCCTGTGGCGGGGGTGGGCGGGTGCACGGAGCTAGGTGCCTCGCCACCCTCGCAGGA